CCCCCACCCCGTGGTCAGAGTGGTCAGGTCCTACGTTGTGCGGAGTATTCCAATACAGACGTGGGACGCGTAGTGATTTTGAAGCTGGTTTGACGTGCCGGGCGCCGTCGAAAAGGAGGGCGCTGCCACGTTGCCGCACCAATGGACGCTCCAAGGATAGGGCCAAGCGGCAATCCTTCGACCACGGCAACCCACGATAGTAGTACTTGAATATCTAACAGGATGCATGTCTCCTAGTATCCGCATCGGTGGCTCTCCGCTGCCATGCGGGCTGCTTGGAAATGAACACCGCCGATGCATGGTCACCACTACCCGCTCTGGATCCAGGAGCACCATATCAACTTGTCCTCGTTGACGAGTTCGTGAGTTCCACATATTTGCCTTCACCCATGACTGGTGGAGGCCAAAGCGCAGACGGCCTTACCGAATCAAGTCTTCCGCGGGTCTCTTCTTGTGGCCAGCACGCGCCACAGCCTCAGCGGGCCTCCTCGTATTGTCGGCGGAAGCCATAGCCTGGATGGTGTCGAAGGCGTTGTCCTCAGAGGGCCTCGCTTCTTTGCTGGTGGTGGCCACCGTGAATGGACAGCGCCGTCGCAGGCGAGGTCCTCCGCGAGCCTCCTCGTGTCGTTGAACGGAGCCACGGCGTAGAATCGTGACAGGTATTGTCCTCAGGGGGACCTCCTCTCGGAGCTGGTGGGGGCCACGAAATATACAGCGCTACGCTGGAGCAGTAATCCCGACTGCGACCCGCCCCCTTCCCAAGAAGCTCACTTTGATAGGACTCTCTTGATAGGACTCTCTAGACTTTCACTCCAAACCAAGAGAACAGAAGAGACCACGGCCCTTTGCAAACGAAAAAACCAGCCCTAGTGCTGCCTTGCGACTAGACAGTCCCGGAAGCGGGCAGTCACGAGTCGATGCCCCTCACTTCCAGCGAAACAGCGTACACGAGTCGGGAGCGTTGGTCCTACGCCTCTATCAGAGCCCTCTACGCATGAGCTTATGGGCTAATCATGCGTCATCACTTGCTTCCCCCTTCTTCCCACTCTCCCAGCACACCATAGCTCTGAAACATTCCCTCCATCCATCTCTTAACCTGGACGTCTCCATGGCTGGTTGGTGTACCCTACCGTGCCTCACCGCACGGTTGTCTACACTTGTACTTTTCGTGTTCCAAGACGGCCAATTCTCGCACGCGTTCTCCGCTTCCAACCTGGGCCGGCGAAACCCCCATCAATCGGTCCGACCCGACCTTGTGGGGCTGCGAGGACAATGGTGTCACGAGTACGGCATGCGTTGACATAAACCCATCACTCACCACAAAGCTGTCACCACTACATAACTGCATAAGTCCGTGCGAGCAATCTTCGTACAGAGAACCGGCTGCCAAGAAATCGTCTCGATTTCTGACCATCCATCTACAGTCACATCACTTCAGTCTCAGTCTCGATTAATCGATTAACTCGCCCTCGCCTTTTGTTGGCTTGCCTCGTCGTCCTTTCCTCGTTCTTCTCGTTCTTCATGCAGACTTGTTTGGGCTCGAACGATAATACGGTGATACAAGAACGGCTCGACCTGCTATCAGAAGAGCGGGCGAGAGACAAGGGGCGAGGGGGGTCAGCACCTGCTGCGCTCATCGGCTCATGGCCGTTTACATTCTAATGAGCGAGCCTACCTCGGCTGCCGAGACCTTGCTCTAGTCAGTCTACGCGTTGAAATGACGATGCCCGGTAGCATAGAGAGACGAGCCCCCCTCTGGCCTCTGCCTTAAGAGAAACGACCGTACATCTCATTCTCTACACCCCGGATTTTGTCCCGCCTTTTGGTGGGGAACAAAGGCGCAGGCAAAGCGTAACTGCCTGTGCGAGCAGAAGTGGTACAGAGAGCCGGCTGCCATGCCGAGAGAGTCCTCTCGACATCTTTCTGCCGATCCATAAACAGTCACATCACTTCAGTCTCAGTCTCGATTGAACGATTGAACGATTAAACGATTATACCCCCCTCGCCTTTTTTTGGGTTGCCTTTTGTCGTCCTCTTCTTGTTCTTCTTGCTCTTCCGAAGATGACAAGGTGGTACAAGAACGGCTCGACCTGCTGTATGGGACCACGACACAACGGGGTGTACCTCGGTCGAAAAACGACTCAGCTGGGTACATACCGGTCGCCCCGGTGGTCTAGTGGGTGACCTCGCAACCTGCCAAGGTCCAGGTCACTGGTTCGAGTCCCGACAGAGTGAGTTTTATCTCACTATTTACATCCTGGTCTCCGTTGGAAGCGATGCTGCAACGCGCGTTGTTAGTAAACTTGATCGACTTCACAAGTCGCGAGTGAAGGGATTGCTGTACCCTTCTCGCGATAAAAATATCTCAGGCAGGAACCGCAGGAGGGGGTCCAACCCCCCTTACTGTGTGACCCCGGTTGGGTCGTCTAGATAGTAGAAGTGGAGGATAGGGGCCGGAGGGGCAGTCGACAGCATCCAATGATGGGAAAAAAAAATACAAACTGTTTTTTGACGTGAAATGAGCCATTGTGATTGGTCCACACCCAGCTTGTCCCTGTTTTGTCGCAAAAAGCCCGAGGTATACCCTGCCGTGTCTACTTTTCTCTACATTGTACCATGATTCTCAGAAGTGTACCCCACCATGTCGGGAAATTGGAGCCTGCCATCCGACATTGTTTCCGCAGAGTTGTCTTGCTTCTCCAACCCAGGGGCACGAAACACACGATAATTTCAGCTCCGAATACGGAATAGTCGATGTACAACCAGGTGTATGTTTATTTCAGTGTACTGACACGCGTAAAACGTTCCCATTACTATCCTACGCCCCTTTGCCCGCTGTGTTTATTCTTCCTCATGAAATTCACTACAAAGACTTCCAACACACCTCCTTCGAATGGGTAGCCGTTCGATGTTTGTGCTCCAAACATGGTGGCAACCGCGATCTGACATACGCTTCATGGTCAAACGCATCATAGTGGACACGCGGACTGTCGCACGTACACATCATGGTTGACCCGCCGACTGCTGCAGTCGCAATAGGATAGAAGTACGCAGCTGCACGACGCATTTTGCACCGCAAGCCAAACCTTCGTGAGGTATAGCTACCGGTCTACCGAGGTAGTCATCTTTACCCCAGGTTTCGCCCGTCGCAGAGAGGCCCTGGATGAAAGCGACGCGCTGCAAAGCTCGTTGTTAGTAAACCATAATCGACTTCGTAAGTCGCGAGGGAAGGTATTGCTGTACCCTTCTCGCGATAAAAATATCTCAGGCAGGAACCACAGAAGGGGGTCCAGCCCCTCGCTCCTTTGTGACCCCGGTTGGGTCGTCCAGCTAGTAGAAGTGGAGGATAGGGGCCAGAGGGGAAGACGACAGAGTCTAATGATGGGAGAAAAAAATACCAACGGAGATTTCGTAGAATTTGATCACTCGCACGAGCTACAGCAGTACCGTCAATTAATTGCAGCTTGGTGCCCTTCGCTCTCTTTCAGCTTGTTCAAAGTGCCCCCATCAATCCCCATCACGCCAGAGTCACCCTTCTTACATCATGGGCAAGGGAGGTCGTCTCGAGAGGCCCCCACTGCTGGTGTAAGCACCCAGGCCTTTGCCTGTCTTGGGCAGGGGATGACCGGCGTGCAACACAGGAAAATTGCAGGGTACACCTCGGGAATATTCCCGCCGTTTTTTTCCCGCCGTGGTGGGCGGTCCCGGTACTGGCGGGAATTACCGCCACATTCGGGTGGTACCGGGAACCGCCGAAGGCGCTACCGCCGAAAAACGAAAAACCGTAGAGTTGTGAATCGGTACGAAAAAACGATATATTTTACATCGGCTGCGCAGCAGCCGATATAACGATATTTTCTCCGATATATCGCCGTAGGCGATATA